ATATATAGGCCTGTATATATTAACTTGCATATCAGCAGCATGCAGCTCACTGACGTTTTGGCTGTTGCATAACACAAAAGGTAAACTATAGATGCCTGATATGAGACACAACACCCTCGCATCTTCTTCTGGGATTACATTGATTGCTGCACGCCGTGTTTCTAGTCGAATTCGGATAATTTATTATCTTGCATAGATTTCAAATAACACAGAACCTGATTGTCTGAATGTTATGTCCAGTTTTTGTTCTTTAATTTTTTTTTTTTGTAAGTGGGGTTCCAGACAGGGCTAGTAGGCGGTAATAAAACAAAATGCGGGGTTTTTTTTCCTCAAATCGCGAGCCCAAAATAGGGTCTTTCAGAAATGAGAACCAAAGAATAAAAAAGAAAAGAATCCTCTATCAGGCGAACGAGAAAAAGATGATCTTTTTCGAATTCCAAAAAAAGTTACTTCCGTTCTGAGGAACTCTTCCCATAGAACATTCCAATGTTTTGTGTGTATGTGCAAGGAATGTTTCTGGGCAATCAGAGCGAAATTTAGGGAAAAGCGGCTTTTCAAATTCAAAAAGCACGTTTCTTTTGCCTGTCACTAGGGGCGTCCTTTCGAATGATGACGTCATCATGATTTCGGTTGTGTAGAAGCGGCCAATTTCTTTTATATTAGTAACTCGCTCCCCTTCCCCAGTTCAATTAATTTATCATAGCAGTTCCAGAAACCCCGAAAGTAAAGGTCGCACTTGTAGTATGTTCATTTTGGAATCAGTTTCATGTTCACACCGAGTTTCAGTTCATGTGTTTTCCTGTTGAAAGAACAGTTGCGGATAATTATTATCTAGAACGAAAACGACAGACAAAGATCGCAGAAAGAAGAACTGGCACCAAATCTTGCTGATATCTAAGGAGCCAAGAGGTTCCGTCCGACGGTTGGTCAACCGTGTAAGAATCACAAACGGCGCAGTTTATGCTCTTAGCAAATGTAAGTAGGCCTACATAATAGTAAAACAACGTGGTCATTCTTTAACTAAAATCGCTTGTAATTTGATACTGATGATGTCATCGCAGGTATCATTGTAATATGCATATAAACCTCAGTATATGAAGAAGATTGGCGGTGAATTTAATAATGTCCGGATAAGAAAACAAAGAGAGAAAACTCGAACAATTCTAAAATGGTGAGCAGGTGGTGACCGGTTAAGCGAAAACACGTATTTGGTAGCTTTTAACTTTATTTGAACCTTGTTGCAGCCTCTACCAATGGAGGTTTACACGTGGCAGACATGGTCTAACGTGTTGAAGCGCAATTCAGGCGCTGCACATGCCTACTCGAAAATAGAATCAGTATCGGTAGACTTCAATATGGCTTTTGACGGAGCCTCTGACGTGCCTGGAGTTTATGCAACATATGCTTAGATACTATCTAAAAATAAATGATTTGATGGCTCTTTTTTTTTTGCCTGGGAATAATAAAATTCTGCTCTTTAGCTATAACGAAAGAGTAGTTCATGGCTGGACTGTAGAAAATACGATTTTTGTTCTTGCATCGGATGTGAAAGGAAAATTGGTGAGGTATGATTTCAATCAATTAAGACGGGAAAAGAAATATAGAAAGAAGATAATGGATTTGGAATGTCAGAGAATATTTTGTGTGATTTCATACGAAACGAAGTGATCCCATTATGATTGGGCTTCTATTTCGGAAAATTGAAAGCACCCTGAAAAGGAGTACCCCAAGTCGAAACAGTATGCTTTTTTTATAACGCCTCACCGGATATTCTGCCTATTTTCTAGAGATATCTGATTAATAAAAACAAATCAAAGTTAGATGTCCCATGGCCCACTTCCGGCATTTATTTTCATATGAGCCAAGGCAGTAAAAGTAAAAAAAAAAAAAAAAAAAAAAAAATGAAATATATATATATTTAAAACAAAAGGTAATTTGATACTGATGATGTCACCGTGTATCAGTGTAATATGCACACCTCGGTATATCAGGGTTGAAGTTTCACGTTCAAGCAGCTGTGACAACTTTTGAAGAATCTTCGCATTGAATTATTGTCCAGAAAAGGAAAGAAAGAAAGAAAGAAATTAAAATTCGAACAATTCTAGAACGGTGAGCTGGTGGTGACCAGTCACGTGAAAACAAGTGTTTGGTAGCTGTTTACTGTATTTGAACTTGTTGCTGCGTCGGCCATAGCGCCGATGGAATTTTATACGTGACTAACATGGTCTAACTTTTTGAAGCGCATTTCTGGTGTTGCACTATAGCTTCTCACAAAAACAATTAATCAGTAGTTACATGTATAGACTTCAGTATGGAGTTTGACGGAGCCTCTAACGTCCATACAGTCTATGCAACATATGCTAAACATTCTAACATAATACACACAGCACTAGTACGCAAATATTGTTTGGACGCCATCTCCTTTCGCGGGCGCTGTTCAAAGCGGACGATCATGGGCGCAATTGGACAATAGGTGGCGCTTTTCGTGATGGAACAATTGCCGTCTTTCGAAAAATTATAGGCACTCACTGAAAAAAAAGGCGCTCGTGAAAGAAAACCCGGCACTCGTGAAAAAGAGGCACCCGTTACAAAATATTGGGGGCGTGGGATACCCACTTACCCTCCCCCTATCGCTTGCTATGCCACTATATAGCTCAGACTCAAAAACGTTATCATGAGAATCGATGGACATCAGAAGAGACATCAACATGTGTTTATAAATCGAAAAATAAATGTTTGATTGCTTTTCTGTCTTAACATGGGGAAAATAAAATGCTGCACTGAGCTAAGGAAAGAATGATGGCTACACTGTTCGGAGCATTACTTTTCTGCATTAAAATATGAGAGGAAAAACTGAGGTACGATTACCATCAATCAGAAAATGGACTGGGACGTTGCTTCACGTGAATTTGTTATGATAAACGTGATATATATTTGTTTCTGTAGGAAACGTGTTCTCATTCTCTCAAAGCATGGCCTGCTATTGGTTGAGCTTCCCATTGCTTTCCCAACCCAAGGGAACACCATACTATTATATCCAGGCTTTGAACCGGTATAATGACAGCAAAGGCTTGCACATCCTCAAAATCAGACGCACTTCTTTACTAGGTGGGAGTCATGATACAATGACAAATAATGCACACAGGCCTCCACACACGGATTGTGTACAAAGAGGGCGTCCCTTTTACTTGTTCATGACCAATTTTGTTTCTATTTGTTTTCAAGTATGGAAGAAACGAGGCAGGGGTTTGAAAACACAATCAAATAACATGGATGACTATGACAGACAGACGTCTAGAGAATTCATTCATGGACACTGATAAATTATTTTGCGTTCAAGAGTCAATTTATTTTGCCAAGAAGCTGTATCATTCACTGTACGTTTACGAAAGAGAAAGCATCGAAGGATGAAAAAGGATTAGAGATAGCCTACGTTCAATTAATAACGAATGATTTCAAAGTCCTGTTTGAAGAATTGGATCTTCTTTTACAGTGAACAAACACCTGTTATGAGAATAAATTCCATCAAGGACAGCCTATCTGCGTTTTGTAACAAAGATGTACATAATTTATGGCTGAGTATTTTACACAACAAAATGGCAGGTTTTAATAGAAAATGCAACAATCATTTTTAAAGGAAAAGTATAACTTTATATTAGTCAACAACGATAAAAATAAGACCGCGTGTGAACATCTTCCTGTATTATAGAACCAGTATAGCCTTTGTGCACCCTTGAACTTTACGGTAATGGCCCCATCTAGAGTTGTGAGAGTTGGGGCGTAAAATAAAAGTGGATTTTACCCATTATCACGGATAATGATAACCATGCACCAATGAAATACCCAAAATACCAAAAAGATCAAAAACATTACAAAAACAAGTATTCCAATCTAACCTAAATGCTGAAACATTTGTGGCTAACCCTCAATGTCTTTTTGATTTGAAATCACGACGAAGAAATATGCAAATTAGAAAGTAACCTTCTCATGTTTTGTCTGGGCTTGTGTTCCGCCCTTTCCAAAAAATAAATCCTCGGATGTAAACGTTTCCATATCCCAGTCCTGCTTACACGATACAAGCAGGAAGAATATTAATGGATATTTTAAGAGTGGATTTTACCCATCATCACGGATAATGATAACCACGCAAGACCGATACCCCAAAAGCCCATGAACAAAATTATTACAGACAGGAACAAACGTATATTGTTTTCAGACACCAAACAGTGGAAATAATAATTAAGTCCGTATTCGAGCTCACTTTTCGTGCCATTTACATGACGAGAAGAATTTATCTTTAAGATTTGTATGCGTTCTGTAAAAAAAAAAAAATCAAATGTGTTGATCGTTGATGTCGGTATTCACGGATCGATTATATATATTTTTGTTTCATTTTGATTTCAAAAGTGCTTTTTAAATTCAGAGTGATCAGCCTTTACACACACACACAATATCCCAGGATGCATAAAATGTTCCCATATCCAAGCGCTGCTTCAACGATACATGCAGGATTAATATTTATGGATATTTTAAAAGTGGATTTTACCCATCATCACAGATAATGACAACCACGCACCCAAAAAGAACAAAAACATTACAGACATGAACAAACTAAGATTACAAACATAGATTTTTTTTAAAACACATCACATGGAGATAATTATTAAGTCCGTGCTCGAGCTCATAATTTGTGTCATTTAAATGACGAGAAGAGTTTAGATTTTTATAAGTTCTGTGAACAATTCAAATGTGCCGATCGGTTAAATTATGTCTGTATTGTCGGATCGAATATTAGATATTTTTTATTTCATTTTGATTTCAGTATCACTCTTTAAATTCACATTGAGCAGACTTCAGACGTGAACAGCACTGTCACGGAATCAATGGAAAAAAACTGGCTGGAACACGGACCCAGTATTGTTAACAAAAATTAGACAATCTTACCAGGAAAGAAGAAAAATGAATTAATGTCAAATCTTTTTTATTGAAACAGAATAAAGCCGTGCTGTCGGTTAACCACTGACGATCTGCATGGAGATAATAAAAGGAAAAAACACCATGATTTCTTCAAGGACTGATGATGGACTTACGAGGACCAAACGTTTAGACACTAGCATTTCGTAAAGAGAGAGGTTTTGCAACGCTAGACCTACTTTAGAGAAAAGATGGGAAAAGTTCATCAATTGATAACGATGGGCTTACCATGGTTTAATTCATTCATGTTGATTTTCAGAATTCCTAGCGTCTTTTACCAATGAGCTCTCTGCAAACGCCCGGAGAGAAACGGACACGTTTAGCACAATAATACTGTGGAAAACCACATTCGGCCTGAGTTGTGCAAGCTGAAACAGAAACCAACATGAAAGTGAATGACTAGTAGAGAAATATTTGTGTGGATGATCTGTTGAAGGAGGCTTTAAAGAGACTGTCCATGTTTAATGTTTACAGGCATCCAGGATAAATTACCATAAAGTAAAAGCCTGCAACTATTTCTTTTTATACCACAAAGAAAAGGGACTTACATGGCTCTGGAGGTGCCATTCAAGATATTGAGATGATGTGATAACCTTTCACGGGATGACGACATCCTACGCGTATTTTTTTGTCAACGTCCTGAGATGTTTTATCACGAGATGACGACATCGTAAAAATAGGATGTCGACATCCTCAGATAATGTATCTAGGGATGAAGACATCCCAAAAGAATAGGATGTCGAGAACCTGAGAACATTTATCACGAGATGACGACATCCTGAAAGAAGGATTGCTTTCCCATAACTCCACTAAAAAGCATTGGAAGGTATCTGGGGATGTCGACACCCTACTTTCAGGATGTCGTCATCCCGTGATATTATTGTCAAACGATGTCGGGATTCTACTTTCAGGATTGTGCTACCCGTGATAGATCTATCCGAGGATGTTGGCATCCCTCTTAAAATTTTACGTGTACGATGTTGTCATCCCGTGATAAATTATGACAGGATCTCAACATCTAGGATGGCACCTCTGGAGTTCCGTAGGGACTAGTTCCAAATTTCAGATATCGCTATTTCTCAGAATTATGATCTTGGAAAGATATAACTATGGAATATCGGATTTCGGCAAATTTTAACCCCCCCCCCAAAAAAAAAAGGTCGTTCAATTTAAAACCCGTCTTATTCAACCAGTTTTATTTGAAAATTAATACATTTAGTCTAATTTAGCTATTTGCTTTCAGATTTCAACATGTTCGGAGTGAACAGAAATTAACCAAAACTAGGCTGAATTAAATATGTACAAAGTCTATTGCATTGGGGAGAAAACGCTTTTCAAGCGGAAAAGCCAATAATAAACGGGCCCGTTCAAAGATTAACAACGCAAATTAACAACAAAACATCTTGTTTTCATTTCCATTGAAGTTTCATTAGATTCACTTTTTGATTTTCAGATTTTTTGTTTTACTGTCTTCCGATTCAAAACAATGCAAACGATTGTTTATTTTTTTTTAAATTAAGGCAAACAGAATAAAACTGATCTAACAAGCAGCAAACGCCAAGAACAACGCTCATTGAAAGGAGAATTGTACACTCAGTGTGTGAATAATCAATGTTGATATTTATAAATGAACCATTTGACGGTAACAATTGATTGCCTATAAACGAAGTAGAACCACGGATCCTACACACAAGGATAAACGACTATTCTGAGCTCTAGTACAAAATGCACTGAGCGGACTTGCCTTAATTGGTTAGACGCATGATAATAGGCATTAATACCCTTTGGCTTGTAATCGCAAATTGCAAAGGTGTGCCATTTTGTCGGTTATTTTGCATGACATCTAAAACGGAAATATTCATGAAACTGTAAGCAAAACTACTCCTTAAGATATATTTGTTGCAAAATTGTTAAAAATAAATGCTTCAGGATATAACAGATGGTATTGTGCAGTTTTTGTCGCCATAGATGAAGTATTTACCCGGAAAAAAAACCCCGTCAAATTTCGAGGAGAACACCGTTTACCCGAATTCCGTTTTTTAAAGAGGCTTTCATTTAAAAAATTATTTAAGGATGTGGTCCCGACCCGATGAAATAAAAGCGACATTTCATAGTTCATTTTAAAGCTAAAGATATTGTTGCTCGGCGTTAACATGGTTACGTTATCACTTATCAGAATTCAATAATAAAGACAAAAAACGCAGAATCATGAATATTCAAAAATATGATTAGCTGGCTTGACAGACTACGACACCAAATCGGGCGCAGAGCCCTGCAAATCTGAGAGCCGCCGCGCGCAGGGGTCTTTGTTGACAAGTATTCATGGTATTTTCCACCTGTATGGGCCGTTATCACGCGTCTAACCAGGCGTTTGGCAGAGTCGTTAATCCTTGTGTGTAGGGTCCGTGGTAGAACAAACGCAAAATGTTCTTGATGAAAAAATGTTCTGCATGAACATGAACAAAACTTCGTTGACATTTCCAACAAAAACAACGGCATTCTCCGGGACAGCATGCAATTGCAACCCAAACGCATGTGAGCAATAATATTGTGCCTAAGTTTTGATTCATGTCGTTAAGTGCCAACCTTTGTCAAGTTATTATTACAAACTTATTATGAAAGACCACAGAACTTACACTTCCCCTTCTTCACTATTCCGCGAGATTCCAGGTCTTGCATCGACTTCTCGGCAAGAAATTCTGCAAGACATTAACAATGTTATTGGTGCTGAATTCATAAATTGCATCTGCACAGATATTGAATAAAAAGAAATTAAGAGTTGAAGTTTCATAGCGTTGAACATTTGTAGAGACACCGAACATTTTTTTAACACTAATAAATAAGGCTTGGAACATGCAAGTTTCGTACGTTTAGGGGGAGAATCAGTCAAACGTGTTTTCTCCTCTATTATGGAAACTTAAACGTTCATTTTAATGTGCGTATAGACTATCATAATTATCAAAACTCGAATCAAACTATATTTACTCCAAGCATGACATATGTACGACATGCCCAAAGGGCTGTGCGAATGTGGTAAAAACTTATAAGAATACTTCTATGTCGGAACGGTAGGGATAATGGAACATTGAACAAATATATCGGGATATTCTGGAACATGAAACAAATATACGGTACTTACTCTCTGCAAAACACAAGGCACATCCAACGACCATCAGGAGAAGCAGGCACATGTAAACCTTCATTCTGGCTAATCTAGAAAGTGAGGGAGAAAATGAATGACAGTAAGATACTTGCAATGATATGGTTGTAACCCCGCCCCCCCCCCCCCCCCCACACACACACACACACGCAGATTAATTCGGCTGTTGCGCGATTTGTACTCTCATGAAATTGTCGCATTGTCATATCAATGTGTATATTTGTGACAAATTATCGTTAACAATGAAAACATTCAATTACCAGGACGGTTTTTTTTACTTTCAAAGCAACTGACATATCAAATCTGGCTACGTTTATCCAAAGCTTACATTTTAGGTTGAAACGAAACTTGAAACCAAAGCAAAGTCAGGAGGCGAAATGCACTGGATGCTTTCAACTTGATGTCTACTGAACGAATGCGCCACAACAACGCCGAGAACACGTCTTTGTATATAGTAGCTGGGTTCAAGTGTCAGAGAAGAGTCATCTACAGCTATGCTGAAACACGTACATCTATACAGACGTTTAAATTAAAGACCATGTAACTCTAGTGGCGTTTCTCATGTTTGAACACATCATGCACATCAAAAACGCAAAAAAGGGAAAAACAAACACCCCCCCCCCCCAGAAAAGGAAGTTCGCTCGTGGAGCCATACAATAGAACTAACACACGCATGCGCACAGGCGATTATCCGATGTAAGAAATAAATATCATCGGTACAACATGACAGAACGGGGGGAAAGGGGGGTGCGTGAGGTCCTATTTTTAAATTCGGTCTTTTTTTCTGGCAGTTTTAAGGATGTAAACCTTGCAACAGGTGTCGATAAACTGTCAAAATGGATGAAAAAAAGGTGAAGCAAATAATAGAAGTAAATGGTGGACGCTTTCGGTCAGGAGTTTATGTTTATGCCAGGTTTTATCTACATCTCAGCCTTGACCCGTTTCGGAGAAAATGGGGTTTGTTTTAATTTGAAGGGTTCTGTCTGCATTTTGAATACGCCCTACTATAGCTTAACATTCTGATATCAACCCGGAATTTCAAGGAAAGCTCACGCAACTTGATCTTATCAAGGTATGGTCTTTTTTTAACTAAAATTACTTGTAACTTGATACTGTTGATGTCGTCGTGTATTTTGTTAATATGCACACTACTGTAAAGTCTGTTATCAGGGTTGATGCTTCAAGTTCAAGCAACTGTGAATATTTTGAAGAGAATTATTTTAAGGAAAAGGAAAAAAAGAAATTAAAACTCGAACAATTCTAAAACGGTGAGCAGGTGGTGACCAGCCACGCAGCAGAAAAATGTCCTACTTTTGATCCTAAATAACTATTTTGTTTACCAATGAAATTAAACCAAAATTTTGGAATATTAAAAAAAAGTATGACAAATTTAGTTGTGCGAATTTCATCAGCTCTGTGCAAGAGGATGAGATTTAAACGCTATACGAAAACATATACTCATTTTCAGAATCTGCCACTTTCGACTTGGCCACCTCCTATGTCGACACAGCGCTTACGGTGGCGGAAGACGCGAGCTGCGGCCGGAAGCTTTTGAAGGAAAGCAGGATCATTCCTGATGTCATTGAAAACCTCCTCGATCGTTGGCGCAACACACGATCGAGGAGATGTGCAATGGCATTAGGGTTGACCCTGCATTCCTTCTGAAGCTTCCGACCGCAGCACGCGCTCTCCCGAATCCGCCACCGCCTCCAGCGCTGTATCGCCATTCTGAAAGTGAGGATGTTTTTTCAGTACGGCGTTTAAATCTCACCCTCTTGCACAAAGCTGATGAAACTCGCTTCATAATTTGTAATGCCATAATCTGGAATTGTGGTTTAAATCCATTGGTAAACAACAGAATTATTCAGGATCAAATTCATGAAATTTTGTTGACACGTAGGTAGCTGTTTACTTTGTTTGAACTTTGTTGCTGCCTAAACCAATGGAGGTTTATACGTGGCAGACATGGTCCAACGTTTGGAAGCGCATTCTTGTGCTGCAAATAGCTACTCAAAAATAAAATCGGTATCGATAGACTTCAATATGGAAATTGACGGAGCCTCTAACGTCCTTGGAGTTTATGAAACATATGCTTGTCTAAAAATAAATGTTTTACGAATTTTTGTCTCTGCAGGGGCATTATAAAATTGTGCTCTCAGCTAACTAAAGAATGGTTCTTGGTTCTTGGCCAGACTGTACAAAATATGGTTTTTGTTTTTGCATTATGATGTCAGAGGCAGAAAGGCAGAAGTAAAATATTTTATTTCGAATAATTCTTGTATCTAAAGTAACGATGACTGAACCTATCCCTTTAGACACGAACAGTTTGATGATGTTGCATTGTGTACCTTGCGGCATGGATAAGCTAAATATCTGCTCTGCTTGAGGTCCAAGCCTCAGTATCGAAATATTGGAATAACCATAGACGACAAAATCTCCATCACAGACACAGCCGGATCTGAACAACTGTGTTCCGAAATGCAAAAAAAAATGACGCATAGCTTTTTTGTCAATGCATGGCCATAATAAATTCTGTTCCTAACTAACGAAAGAATGGTTCTTGGTTAGCCTGTATAATTAGAAAACTAGATATTCTGCTTATTTTCTAGAGATATCTGATTAATAAAACAAAATAGACATTCAGATATCCCAGTTCAGGCATTTATTTTCATATGAGCAAAGGCAGTAGAACAAGGGGGAAAGGGGAAAAAATATTACACCAACATTTTGTTTATATTTTGACATTTATCTTCACAATTGATGATGTGATAGCATTGTGAAAAGCATTGCAGTTGCACCAGTTTAGATGACTAAATTAAATGGTGCCAAGTGCGTTTTGTCTATTTCGTTGATTGCAATGAGAATATCGTGAGCTACTCATGAAACCGTCTTTGGCAAAATATATAGGTCTGTATATATTAACTTGCATATCAGCAGCATGCAGCTCACTGACGTTTTGGCTGTTTCATAACACAAAGGTAAACTATAGATGCCTGATATGAGACACAACACCCTCGCATCTTCTTCTGGGATTACATTGATTGCTGCACGCCGTGTTTCTAGTCGAATTCGGATAATTATATCAATCTTCCATGGATTTCGAATAACAAAGAACTTGGTTGTCTGAATGTTATGTCCAGTTTTTTTTCTTTAATTTTTTTTTTTTTGTAAGTGGGGTTCCAGACAGGGCTCGTAGGCGGTAATAAACCAAAATGCGGGGTTTTTTCCTCAAGTCGCGAGCCCAAAATAGGGTCTTTCAGAAATGAGATCAAAAGAATAGAAAAGAAAAGAATCCTCTATCAGGCGGTAATAAACCAAAATGCGGGTTTTTTTCCTCAAGTCGCGAGCCCAAAATAGGGTCTTTCAGAAATGAGAACAAAAGAATAAAAAAGAAAAGAATCCTCTATCAGGCGAACGAGAAAAAGATGATCATTTTCGAATTCCAAAAAAGTTACTTCCGTTCTGAGGAACTCTTCATAGGGAACATTCCAATGTTTTGTGTGTATGTGCAAAGAATGTTTAAGGGAAATCTGAGCGAAATTTTGGGAAATGCGGCTTTTCAAATTCAAAAAGCACGTTTCATTTGCTTGTCGCTAGGGGCGTCCTTTCGAATGATGTCGTCATCATGATTTCGTTTGTGTAAAAGCAGCAATTTTTTTTTATAATAGCAACATTCTGCCCTTCCCCAGTTCAATTCATTTATCATAGCAGTTCCAGAAACCCCGAAAGTAAAGGTCGCACTTGTAGGATGTTCATTTTGGAGTCAGGGTTCATGTTCACACCGAGTTTCAGTTCATGTGTTTTCCTATTGAAAGAACAGTTGCGGATAATTATTATCTAGAACGGAAACGACAAAGATCGCAGAAAGAAGAACTGGCACCAAATCTTGCTGATATCTAAAGAGCGAAGAGGTTCCGTCCGAGGGTTGGTCAACCGTGTAAGAATCACAAACGTCGCAGTTTATATGCTCTTAGCAAATGTAAGTAGGCCTACATAATAGTAAAAGAACGTGGTCACTCTTTAACTACAATCGCTTGTAATTTGATACTGATGATGTCATCGCAGACATCATTGTAATATGCATATACACCTCAGTATATGAAGAAGATTGGCGGTGAATTTAATACTGTCCGGATCAGAAAACAAAGAGAGAAAACTCGAACAATTCTCAAATGGTGAGCAGGTGGTGACCGGTTAAGCGAAAACAAGTATTTGGTAATTTCTAACTTTATTTGAACCTTGTTGCTGCCTCTACATTGCAATGGAGGTTTACACGTGGCAGACATGGTCTAACGTGTTGAAGCGCAATTCAGGCGCTGCACATGCCTACTCGAAAATAGAATCAGTATCGGGAGACTTCAATATGGCTTTTGACGGAGCCTCTGACGTCCCTGGAGTTTATGCAACATATGCTTAGATACTATCTAAAAATAAATGGTTAATGGCTCTTTCGTTTTTGCCTGGGAATAATAAAATTCTGCTCTTTAGCTATAACGAAAGAGTAGTTCATGGCTGGACTGTAGAAAATATGATTTTTGTTTTTGCATCGGATGTGAAAGGAAAATTCGTGAGGTATGATTTCAATCAATTAAGACGGGAAAAGAAATATAGAAAGAAGATAATGGATTTGGAATGTCAGTAAATATTTTGTGTGATTTCATACAAAACGAGGTGATCTCATTAAGATTGGGCTTCTATTTCGGAAAATTGAACGCACCCTGAAAAGGAGTACCCCAAGTCGAAACAGTATTATTTTTTTTGTAACGCCTCACCGGATATTCTGCCTATTTTCTAGAGATATTTGATAAATAAAAAAAATCAAAGTTAGATGTCCCATGGCCCAGTTCAGGCATTTATTTTCATATGAGCCAAGGCAGTAAAAGTTAAAAAAAATAAAAAAATATATTTAAAAGATAAGGTAATTTGATACTGATGATGTTATCGTGTATCAGTGTAATATGCACACATCAGTATATCAGGGTTGAAGTTTCACGTTCAAGCAGCTGTGAAAAAATTTGGAAGAATCTTTGCATTGAATTATTGTCCGGAAAAGGAAAGAAAGAAAGAAAGAAATTAAAATTCGAACAATTCTAGAACGGTGAGCTGGTGGTGACCAGTCACGTAAATACAAGTGTTTGGTAGCTGTTTACTGTGTTTAAACTTGTTGATGCGTCGGCCATAGCGCCGATGGAATTTTATATGTGACAAACATGGTCTAACTTTTTGAAGCGCATTTCTGGTGTTGCACTATAGCTTCTCACAAAACCAATTAATCAGTATTTACATGTATAGACTTCAATATGGAGTTTGACGGAGCCTCTAACGTCCATACAGTCTATGCAACATATGCTAAGATAATATCTAAAAACACATGCTTTAAGGCTTTTTTTGTTTATAAAATTCTAACATAATACACACAGCACTAGTACGCAAATATTGTTTGGACGCCATCTCCTTTCGCGGGCCGCCATTGGACAAAAGGTGGCGCTTTTCGTGATGGAACAATTGCCGTCGTTCGAAAAATTATAGGCACTCACTGAAAAAAAAGGCGCTCGTGAAAGAAAACCCGGCACTCGTGAAAAAGGGGCACCCGTTACAAAATATTGGGGGCGGGGGATACCCCCTTACCCTCCCCCTACCGCTTGCTATGCCACTATATAGCTCAGACTTAAAAACGTTATCATGAGAATCGATGGACATCTGAAGAGACATCAACATGTGTTTATAAATCGAAAAATAAATGTTTGATTGCTTTTCTGTCTTAACATGGGGAAAATAAAATGCTGCACTGAGCTAAGGAAAGAATGATGGCTACACTGTTCGGAGCATTACTTTTCTGCATTAAAATATGAGAGGAAAACTGAGGTACGATTACCATCAATCAGAAAATGGACTGGGACGTTGCTTCACGTGAATTTGTTATGATAAACGTGATATATATTTTTTTTTCTGTAGGAAACGTGTTCTCATTCTCTCAAAGCATGGCCTGCTATTGGTTGAGCTTCCCATTGCTTTCCCAACCCAAGGGAACACCATACTATTATATCTAGGCTTTGAACCGGTATAATGGCGGCAAAGGCTCGCACATCCTCAAAATCAGACGCACTTCTTTACTAGGTGAAAGTCATGATACAAGGACAATAATGCACACAGGCCTCCACACACGGATTGTGTACAAAGAGGGCGTCCCTTTTACTTGTTCATGACCAATTTTGTTTCAACTTTTTTCAAGTATGGAAGAAACGAGGCAGGGGTTTGAAAACGCAATCAAATAACATGGATGACTATGACAGACAGACGTCTAGAGAATTAATTCATGGACACTGATAAATTATTTTGCGTGCAAGAGTCAATTTATTTTGCCAAGAAGCTGTATCATTCACAGTACGTTTACGAAAGAGAAAGCATCGAAGGATGAAAAAGAATGAGAGATAGCATACGTTCAATTAATAACGAATGATTTCAAAGTCCTGTTTGAAGAATTGGATCTCCTTTTACAGTGAACAAACACCTGTTATGAGAATAAATTCCATCAAGGACAGCCTATCTGCGTTTTGTATAACAAAGATGTACATAATTTATGGCTGAGTATTTTACACAACAAAATGGCAGGTTTTAAAAGATAAGGCAACAATCATTTTTAAAGGAATAGTATGACTTTATATTAGTCAACAGCGAGAAAAATAAGATCGCATGTGAACATCTTCCTGTATTATAGAACCAGTTTAGCTTTTGTGCACCCTTGAACTTTACGGTAATGGCCCCATCTAGAGTTGTGACAGTTGGGGCGTAAAATAAAAGTGGATTTTACCCATTATCACTGATAATGATAACCATGCACCAATGAAATACCCAAAATACCAAGAAGACCAAAAACATTACAAAAACAAGTATTCCAATCTAACCTAAAAGCTGAAACATTTTTGTGGCTAACCCTCAATGTCTTTTTGATTTGAAATCACGACGAAGAAGTGTGCCAATTTAGAAAGTAGCCTTCTCATGTTTTGTCTGGGCTTGTGGTCCGCCCTTTCCAAAAAAAAAATAAAATCCTTGGATGCAAACGTTTCCATATCCCAGTCCTGCTTACACGATACAAGCAGGAAGAATATTAATGGATAATTTAAAAGTGGATTTTACCCATCATCACGGATAATGATAACCACGCAACACCGATACCCCAAAAGCCCAAGAACAAAAACATTACAGACAGGAACAAACGTATATTGTTTTAAGACACAAAACAGTGGAAATAATAATTAAGTCCGTATTCGAGCTCACTTTTCGTGCCATTTACAGAACGCATACAAATCTTAAAGAATGTATCTTTAAGATTTGTATGCGTTCTGTAAAAAAAAATCAAATGTGCCGATCGTTTAATATATGTCGGTATTCACGGATCGATTATATATATTTTCGTTTCATTTTGATATCAAAAGTGCTCTTTAAATTCAGAGTGAGCAGCCTTTACACACAAACAAAATATCCTAGGATGCATAAAATGTTCCCATATCCAAGCGCTGCTTCAACGATACATGTAGGATTAATATTCATGGATATTTTAAAAGTGGATTTTACCTATCATCACAGATAATGACAACCACGCACCCCAAAAGAACAAAATCATTACAGACATGAACAAACTAAGAGAACGAACATAGATTTTTTTTAAAACACATCACATGGAGATAATTATTAAGTCCGTGCTCGAGCTCATAATTTGTGTCATTTAAATGACGAGAAGAGTGTAGACTTTTATAAGTTCTGTAAACAATTCAAATGTGCCGATCGGTTAATATATGTCTGTATTGACGGATCGAATAAAGATATTTTTTGTTTCATTTTGATTTCAGTATCACTCTTTAAATTCACATTGAGCAGACTTCAGACGTGAACAGCACTGTCACGGAATCAATGGAAAAAAACTGGCTGGAACACGGACCCAGTATTGTTAACAAAAATGAGACAATCTTACCAGGAAAGAAGAAAAATGAATTAATGTCAAATCTTTTTATTGAATCAGAATAAAGCCTTGCTGTCGGTTAACCACTGACGATCTGCATGGAGATAATAAAAGAAAAAAACACCATGATTTCTTCAAGGACTAACGATGGACTTACGAGGACCAATCGTTTAGACACTAGCATTTAAATGTCGTAAAGAGAGAGGTTTTGCAACGCTAGACCTACTTTATAGAAAAGATTGGAAAGTTCATCAATTGATAACGATGGGCTTACCATGGTTTAATTCATTCATGTTGATTGTCAGAATTCCTAGCGTCCTTTTCCCACCCACCAGCAAAAGCCCTGATCGTGACCGGGAGGTTTAGAACAATACATTGGATCACATTCGGCATCAGTTGTGCAAGCTGAAACAGAAACCAACATGGAAGTGAATGACTCGTAGAGAAATATTTGTGTGGATAATCTGTTGAAGGAAGCTTTAAAGAGACTGTCCATGTTTAACGTTTACAGGCATCCAGGATAAATTACCATAAAGTAAAAGCCTGCAACTATTTCGTTTTATACCACAAAGAAAAGGGACTTACATGGCTCAGGAGGTGCCATTCAAGATATTGAGATGCTCTGATAACCTTTCACGGGATGACGACATCCTACACGTATTTTTTTGTCAACGTCCTGGGATGATTTATCACGAGATGATGACATCGTAAAAATAGGATGTCGACATCCTCAGATAATGTATCTAGGGATAAAGACATCCCAAAAGAATAGGATGTCGAGAACCTAGGAAAATTTATCACGAGATGACGACATCCTGAAAGTAGGATTGCTTTCCCATAACTCCACTAAACAGCATTGGAAGGTATCTAGGGATGTCGACAACCTATACTTTCAGGATGTCGTAATCCCGTGATATTATTGTCTCACGATGTCGGGATCCTACTTTCAGGATTGTGCTACCCGTGATAGATCTATCCGAGGATGTTGGCATCCCTCTTAAAACATGTCGTTATAGACGTCATCCCGTGATAAACTATCTCAGGATGTCGACGTTTTACGTGTACGATGTTGTCATCCCGTGATAAATTATGACAGTATCTCAACATCTAGGATGGCACTTTTGGAGTTCGGTAGGGACTAGTTCCGAATTTCAGATATCGCTATTTCTCAGAATTATGATCTTGGAAAGATATAACTTTGGAATATCGGATTTCGGCAAATTTCAACCCCCACCCCCCAAAAAAAGTCGTTCAATTTAAAACCCGTCTTTTTCAACCAGTTTTATTTGAAAATTAATACATTTAGTCCCCAACAAACTCTTCCCTAAGTTTAGCAATAGCGTTGGCATGACAAATAATTTGGTTCAACTTCAAATGGTATTCATTTATTCAAATTCGTCGAAGACAGCTTTAATATCACAAGGTTTACCACGAATTTAATTTCTACAATGGACACACATGATTGATTCACATATTTGCATTCTTTTTTTTCTGTGCTATTTGCTTTCAGATTTCAACATGTTCTGAGTGAACAAAAATTAACCAAAACTAGGCTGAATTAAACATGTACAAAGGCTATGGGATTGGGGGAAAACTAAAAGCTTTTTTTAAGCGGAAAAGCCAATAATAAACGGGCCCATTCCAAGATTAACAACGCAAATAAACAACAAAACATCTTGTTTTCATTTCCAATGAAGATTTATTTAGATTCACTTTTCGATTTTCAGATTTTTTTTGTTTTTACTGTCTTCCGATTCAAAACAATGCAAACGATTGTTTATTTTTTTAAATTAAGGCAAACAACAGAATAAAACTGATCTAACATGCAGCAAACGCCAAGAACAACGCTCATTGAAAGGAGAATTGTACACTCAGTGTGTGAATAATCAATGTTGATATTTATAAATGAACCATTTGACGGTAACAATTGATTGCCTATAAACGAAGTAGAACCACGGATCCTACACACAAGGATAAACGACTATTCTGAGCTCTAGTACAAAATGCACTGAGCGGACTTGCCTTAATTGGTTAGACGCATGATAATAGGCATTAATACCCTTTGGCTTGTAATCGCGAATTGCCCAGGCGTGCCATTTTGTCGGTTATTTTGCATGACATCTAAAACGGAAATATTCATGAAACTGTAAGCAAAACTACTCCTTAAGATATATTTGTTGCAAAATTGTTAAAAAATAAATACTTCAGGATATAACAGATGGTATTGTGCAGTTTTTGTCGCCATAGATGAAGTATTTACCCGGGAAAAAAACCCGTCAAATTTCGAGGAGAACACCGTTTACCCGAATTCCGTTTTTTAAAGAGGCTTTCATTTAAAAAATTATTTAAGGATGTGGTCCCGACCCGATGAAATAAAAGCGACATTTCATAGTTCATTTTAAAGCTAAAGATATTGTTGCTCGGCGTTAACATGGTTACGTTATCACTTATCAGAATTCAATAATAAAGACCAAAAACGCAGACTCATGAATATTCAAAAATATAATGAGCTGGCTTGACAGACTTCGACACCAAATCGGGCGCAGAGCCCTGCAAATCTGAGAGCCGCCGCGAGCAGGGGTCTTTGTTGACAAGTATTCATGGTATTTACCACCAGTACGGGCCGTTATAACGCGTCTAACCAGGCGTTTGGCAGAGTCGTTAATCCTTGTGTGTAGGGTCCGTGGTAGAACAAACGCAAAATGTTCTTAATGAAAAAATGTTCTGCATGAAAATGAACAAAACTTCGTTGACATTTCCAACAAAAACAACGGCATATTCTCCGGGACAGCATGCAATTGCAACCCAAACGCGTGTGAGCAATAATATTGTGATTCATGTCGTTAAGTGCCAACCTGCGTCAAGTTATTATTACAAACTTATTATGAAAGACCACAGAACTTACTCTTCGCCTTCTTCACTATTCCGCGAGATTCCAGGTCTTGCATCAACTTCTCGGCAAGAAAGTCTGCAAGACATTAACAATGTTATTGGTACTGAATTCATGAATTGCATCTGCACAGATATTGAATAAAAAGAAATTAAGAGTTGAAGTTTCATAGCGTTGAACATTTGCAAAGACACCGAACATTTTTGTTAACACTAATAAATAAGGCTTGGAACATGCAAGTTTCGTACGTTTAGGGGAAAAATCAGTCAAACGTGTTTTCTCTTCTATCATGGAAACTTAAACGTTCATTTTAATGTGCGTATAGACTATCATAATTATCAAAACTCGAATCAAGCTATATTTACTCCAAGCATGACATAATACGACAGGCCCAAAGGGCTGTGCGAATGTGGTAAAAACTTATAAGAATACTTCTATGTCGGAACGGTAGGGATAATGGAACATTGAACAAATATATCGGGATATTCTGGAACATGAAACAAATATACGGTACTTACTCTCTGCAAAACACAAGGCACATCCAACGACCATCAGGAGAAGCAGGCACATGTAAACCTTCATTCTGGCTGATCTAGAAAGTGAGGTAGAAAATGAATGACAGTAAGATACTTGCAATGATATGGTTGTAACCCCCCCCCCCTCCCCTCCCCTCACACACACACACACACACGCACCCACACACACGCAGATTAATTCGACTGTTGCGCGATTTGTACTTTTCATGCAATTGACACAGGAGCAGCAGTAAAAGTATATCACTGCCGTAAGTCATATCAACGTGTATATTCGTGACAAATTATCGTTAACAATGAAAACATTCAATTACCAGGACGTTTTTACTTTCAAAGCAACTGACATATCAAATCTGGCCACGTTTATCCAAAGCTTACATTTTAGGTTGAAACGAAACTTGAAACCAAACCAAAGGCAGGAGGCGGAAATCCACTGGATGCTTTCAACTTGATGTCTACTGAACGAATGCGCCACAACAACGCCGAGAACACTTCTTAGTAGTAGCTGGGTTCAAGTGTCAGAGAAGAGTCATCTACAGTTATGCTGAAACACGTACATCTATACAGACGTTTAATTTAAAGACCATGTAACTCTTGTAGCGTTGCTCATGTTTGAACACATCGTGCACATCGTAAACGCAAAAAAGGGGAAAACAAACACCCCCCCCCCAGAAAAAGAAGTTCGCTCGTGGAGCCATAAAATAGAACTAACACACGCATGCGCACAGGCGATTATCGGATGTAAGAAATAAATATCATTGGTAAATAATAGAAGTAAATGGTGGACGCTTTCGGTCAGGAGTTTATGTTTATACCAGGTTTTATCTACATCCCGGCCTTGACCCGTTTCGGAGAAAATGGGGTTTCTTTTATTTTAAAGGGTTCTGTCTGCATTTTGAATACACCCTACTATAGCTTAACATTCTGGTATCAACCCGGAATTTCAAGGAAAGCTCACGCAACTTGATCTTATCAAGGTATGGTCTATCAGACATAATGTACGAAGGTGATTGCTAATTGTGTTCATAGTTGAAGCATGGCCATTTTGAACTAAAATTGCTTGTAACTTGATACTGTTGATGTCGTCGGGTATTTTGTTAATATGCACACCACTGTACAGTCTGTTATCAGGGTTGATGCTTCAAGTTCAAGCAGCTGTGAATATTTTGAAGAGAATTGTTTTAAGGAAAAGAAAAGAAAGAAATTAAAGCTCGAACAATTCTAAAACGGTGAGCAGGTGGTGACCAGCCACGCAGCAGAAAAATGTCCTACTTTTGATCATAAATAACTCTGTTGTTTACCAATGGAATTAAACCAAAATTTTAGAATATTAAAAAAAAAAACATGACATATTTTATTAGGCAAATTTCATTAGCTTTGTGCAAGAGGATGAGATTTTAACACCATACGAAAAAAAAAATACTCATTTTCAGAATCTGCCACTTTCGACTTGGCGACCTCCAATGTCGACACAGCGCTTACGGTGGCGGAAGACGCGAGCTGCGGCCGGAAGCTTTTGAAGGAAAGCAGGATCATTCCTGATGTCATTGAAAACCTCCTCGATCGTTGGCGCAACACACGATCGAGGAGATGAGCAATGACTTTGGCTTGACCCTGCATTCCTCCAGAAGCCTTCGGCCGCACCACGTGCGTTCCCGAATCCACCACTGTCTCCAGCGCCAGTCATTCTGAAAGTAAGGGGTTTTTTTTAGTCTGGCGATTAAATCTCACCCTCTTGCACAGAGCCGATGAAACTCGCTTCATAAAATTTGTCATGCCATAATCTGAAAGTGTGGTTGAATTCCATTGGTAAACAACAGCGTTATTTAGGATTAAATTTATGAAATTTTGTTGACACGCAGGTAGCTGTCTACTTTATTTGAACTGTGTTGCTGCCTAAACCAACGGAGATTATACGTGGCAGACATGGTTTAACGTTTTGATGCGCATTCTTGCAAATAGCTACTCAAAATGGAATCAGTATCAGTAGACTTCAATATGGAGATTGACGGAGCCTCTAACGTCCTTGGAGTTTATGAAACATATGCTTGTCTAAAAATAAATGTTTTACGATTTTTTGTCTCTGCAGGGGCATAATAAAATTCTGCTCTCAGCTAACAAAAGAATGGTTCTTGGTTCTTGTCTAGACTGTACAAAATATGGTTTTTGTTTTTGCATTATGATGTCAGAGGAAAATTGGTGAGGTGTGATTTCAATCAATGAGACGGGAAAAGAAATAAAATAATAGATTAGAATGTCAGTGAATGTTTTGTGTGATTTAATACAAACACTAGCCTCCCGAGGTAATCACAAGAAGATTGCGGTTCTATTTTGGAAAACTGAACGCACCCTGAAAAAACTTACTATGTACCCCAAGACTGTTTATATTCTGCCTATTTTATAGAAATTTTCGATTAATTAAACGAAATCAAATTCAAATGTCTCTCTTTGGGAATACATTTTCATATGAGCAAAGGCAGAGGTAAAATATTTTATTTCGAATAATTCTTGTATCTAAAGTTATGGTGCACCAATGATTCTGTTCTTTGCTAAGAACAGAATTGCATTATCAGCAAGCAAAGACAAAATAGCAATACACTATTTATTTTCGATGAACATATGCTGCATAAACTCCAGGAGAGGCCCGTCAATGAAGTCTATTATCCATACAGATTCTGCCTTTGTTGTATGTGCAGCACCCGCAATAGCTAGCTATTGAGAACAACGTATCAATGTTATCAGCATTCACGAGTATAAAGCTGTCAGGAGAATTCAATGAAATCATGTTCAGCAAAGATTTGTGGCCAATTTACCCTTTCATTTATAATAGGCCTTCCCGATGTTGCGGAAAGTATGCTGTCATGGTGACGAGAATGTAAATTAGTTTATGTAGTTGTACTGGAAGTGCAATGATAAAGAATGTAGCTTGAAAACGGAAGTCTTTTACCATCGTCAAAGAAATATTCAAATGTTTGGTGGGGGTAGCCTAAACCTGGTCATGATCACCACCCCCCCCCCCCCCCCTCGCTGGCTATGTCACTGCATAGCTCAGAATCAAAATAGAGAATAATAGCTTCTGCGACATATGTTTGTCTAAAAATACATGTTTTATTGCTTTTTTTGTCTATGCATGGGCATAATAAAATTCTGTTATGAGCTAAGGAAGGAATGATGGCTACACTGTTGGGAACAGTACTTTTCTGCATTTAAATATGAGAGGAAAACTGAGGTACGATTGCAATCAGTTATGGCGCACGTAATCACAAAATGGACGAGGACGTAGTATTGAATGCCACATGTGATTTAGTCCAAACGAGCCTTCCGAGGCTCACTTGTTTTCTCGAGCGTCCCTGCTGCCAAGAAAAGCGCCACCTATTGTCTGATGGTGCCCATCGTCCGCTTTGAACAGCGCCCCCCCCCCCCCACATTTTTGATTTTTCGGAAGCCGGCTGACCGTTTTATATAAAATCCATGTTTATCTTGTATTCTAAAATCCATGTTTATCTTGTATTGTATAGGCATTGGTCAGGCGAGTGCCAACACTGAAAAAATGCCTGGGTTAATTTTACCCAAGAAAGGGTGAAAACTGCAACTACCCATTGTTCTATAACCAATTGTTTGGGTTAGAATTTATGTTAAATTCAACCAAAAGTTGTAGTCATTCAAGACCAAATTAATTTAGCAGAAATTCTAACCGAAACAAGTTTGCAGTTTTCAGCCTTTCTTTAGTAAAATTAACCCAGGCAACTTTTCAGTGAACCTCCCCCCTCCACCTCTGCTTAACTTCCCATCAAAATGACCTCGCTACGCAACTGCTATACATGTATGTGCAGCACCAGAAATGCGTTGACTGGCTTTCTTTTGAGATCAATGTATCAATGTTATTAATATTCATGAGTATAAAGCAGGAAGAACTATACATTGAAATCATTTTCAGCAAAGATACGTGGACAATTCACCCTTTCATTTATAATATGCCTTCCTGGTGTTGCGGATAGTCTTTCGTCATGGTGACGAGAACGTAAAATAGTTGAAGAAGTTGTACAAGCAGTGCGAGGATGTAACCTGGAAGGGAAGTCCTTTACCATCGTCCAAAAATATTCCAATGTTCGGTGGGGGCGCTTGACTCAAGTCATGATGACGATGTCAGTCGAGAGGGTGCCCCAATGGGCCCTTTAAAGTTTGACAAATTGAAAACCATTTGCCAAAATTGCGATCACAATGCCCCTTAACCTTTTTTTGAACGGTAGCAAATTAATCTGCAAAGGTTTTAAATGATGACTTCGTAGAGACGGCACGTCCGTTTCTGGAGAGATTTGAAAAGGATCATATTTTACCTGTTGGATTCACATCCATTATTCAGTGCCCAGTACCGATGATTGTTGCACAATAATTCCTGATGTTACCGTTTGTTTTTGTTTTTTTGTTGATATACGCATCCGGATACTGTGATGACATTAAACCAAAAGTTAAATGTCAATTAATTCATACAAATAAACGTTCGTGTATAGTTGTTATTTTCAAACAAAATATTTTGCCTTTTACTGCCTTTGGTCAAATGATAAAATAATTCAATTGAGACATTTTAATTTCATTTTGTAATTGGAATCTCTAGAAATAAGCAGAATTTGTGGGTGAGGCGTTATGCAACGAATACAGACTGCTCTGACGCGGGGAAGAGTAAAATCTGTGATCAAGGGAGCGTTCTATTTTTCCAGATATACTCTTCAAGGGATCACCTCGGAAGGCTAGTTTTGTACTATATCACACTTAGCACTCAATACTAATATCCTAGTCCATTTTGTGATTACGTTGGCCATAATTTATCGCAATCTTGACACAGTTTTCCTCTCATATTTTCATGCAGTAAAGTAATGTTCCCAACAGTGTAGCCATCATTCTTTCCGTAGCCTAGAGCAGAATTGTATTATGCAAATACCAAAAAAGCAATAAAAGATTTATTTTTAGACAAACATATGTTGCATTGGCTCCAACGACGTTATTTTGTATTTGAATCTGAGCTATACAGTGGCATATCCAGCAAGTGGGGGAGGG